TTATATTATATAATATAAAACAAATATAAACTAATATAAAACAAATTAGACCTATTTCAAAGCTGGAACAGCATCTGTTTCCTGTCTGTACTCACTCACTGGTTAAGATGTTTCTGGTCTTAGTGTTATTCTCTAAAGCCACAGCTGTGCCATAGAATAAAGAGTAAAAGATCAAAACCATGATTTTAGCAGCATTGAAATCAGAGAAATCTGAAATTTTAATGTGAAAACACATTGGAACATAGAAAATGGAAATTAAAAAGATTCACAGCATTGGTAAAAAACCTAAAACATTTATGATTAAATAGTTCTTTAATTTTTTGATGGAAAGTAGGTAATCACTGTGATATTTCCAGGTTTCAAAATCTCTCAGTCTTATGTCCTAACGGATAAACTAGTGATGATAAACTAGTTCTTCAGCCTATGAAGAATGAGTTATTATGTAGTTATGCTGAAACAAAAAAAAATTTCCTTGCTTACTTTTTCTGTGTGCTGGTTTTGGCTGGAATAGAGTTCATTTTCTCTTCAGCTAGTATGGGATTATGCTTTAGATTTGTGCTGAAAATAGTGTTGATAATAGAGGGCTGGTTTTGTTCCTGTTGATCAGCACTTGCTCAAGGTATTCCCCACCTCACTGTGAGGGGTTGGGGGTACACAAGGACTTGGGAGGGAACACAGCCAGGACAGCTGACCCCAACTCTCCAAAGAGATATTCCATACCATATAGCATCATGTTCAGTATGTAACATGGGGGAAGGAGGAAGGGGGGGATGTTTGGAGTGATGATGTTTGTCTTCCCAAGTCAACATTACATGGACCCTGTTTTCCTGGGGATGGCTGGAACACCTGCCTGCCTAGGGGAAGTGGTGAACGAGTTCCTTATTTTGCTTTGCTTGCATGTGTGGCTTTTGCCTTACCTATTAAACTGTCTTTATCTCTACCCACAAGTTTTCTCACTTTTACTCTCCCCATTGCCTCATCTGACAGGGGCAGCAGCTGCAGGAGGAGCTTACAGTAGATTTTCAAAACCAAGTTATTTGGTAAACATCTGTGATTTTGTGCTGATACTGCTAGAGCAGAACGAGCAGATGAGGTCAAATTCCCCTGTGCTCTGCTGAGTACAAGCTGCTGAAGTTTATAATTATTGTATTTGTTATATCATCCTAGCGCAGCAAAGACAAATTATTCCACTACATTGCCACAGAGTAACAGAATAGCTCCACTAACTTCTGCCTTTGTCAAATTCAGAGCTGAACAGACCATTGGTTTCTGATCACCATTTAATCAACAAGAAATGTCGACTTCTCTACCTGTGCTAGCAGGAAACCTGATTTCCAGAAACTTCATTTAAATTTACTGTATTTAAATTTGGGACTCAGTTGGAAGTGTCTGAATAAATTTATGTGTCCTGAGATGAACAGGAAACCAGATCAGGTGATAGGCCCATCTGGCTATAAACAATGAAACCTAAGCCTTAACATTCCCACTAGACTCAGCATTACAAACTAAAGCTTCCTTCATACCTAACATTCTTTTTGCCCTAGAGGGAGACATAAGAACCAATAAGAATGCATACTGCATAACTTGAGCAACAGCCACCAGTAGTCCAAAGCCTTTTATATGATGCTTGGAATTTGCAGTTTTCTGTGATGTTGCATCATACATCACACAACACATTGTATGCAATGTGCTGTGAAAAAATGGAGAACCACATTGTCTGTGGAATTAGAATTGGAGAACAGCCAGGAAAATTGCTTGCATTTTGTGCAGTAGGCAGAATAGAATTACCTTTAATGTTGCTTTAGACACAATGCTTATACCTCTCAAATAGACTAATACTCTTGTAAAACGTGTTATCACTTTCAGCTAAATTAACGTAACTTTAACCAGTCATTTAATTATCTTCATTTCTTTCAGATTAATTTAGCCTGAATTATTAAATATATCTTTCGTTTTGGAATAACTAAAATATCTAATAGCTGTTAGAAAGACATTAGTATTTTCAAATCACCAAATTATGCAGCAATTGGGAGCTGTCATTTGGCCAGGCCCCAGCCACAGTTATGAAAACCAGTTTGCAGTGCTTTACAGAAAATACAAATGCCACATGCTACCATTTATTGTAAGTCTTGGCCTAAGGCATTAATAAATCTCAACTTTGATATCTCATTGTACTATTTTTCTCTAAAAATAAACAAGAATATAAAAAAAAGTATAATGATAAGTCATTATTAATGAAACCTGCACAGCCACAAAACTGAGTGTCCACAGAATCACAGAATCAATTAGGTTGGAAAAGACCTCAGAAATCATTGAGTCCAACCTATGACCTAACACCATGATGTCAGTGAGACCATGGCACTAACAGCCACATCCAGCCTTTCCTTAAACATCTCCAGGGACGGTGACTCCACCACCTGCCTGAGCAGTTCATTCCATTGTCTAATCACCCTTTTTTTTAAGAAATTTCTCCTAATGTCCAACCTAAACCTCCACAGCACAACTTAAGACTATGTCCCCTCGTCCTGTCACTAGTTGCCTGGGAGAAGAAGCTGCCTCCCACCTGGCTACAACCTCCTTTCAAGTAGTTTAGACAGTGGTAAGATCACCCCAGAGGCTTCTCTTCTCCACACTAAACAAGTTCAGCTCCCTCAGTTGCTCCTCACTGGACTTGTGCTCCAGACCCTTCACCAGCTTCATGGCCCTTCTCTGGACATGCTCCAGCAGCTCAATGTCCTTCTTGAATTGAGGAGCCCAGAACTGAACACAGCACTTGAGGTGTGCCCTCACCAGTGCCAAGTACAGGTGGACAATCACTGCCCTGGTCTTGCTAGCCACACTGTTTCTGATACAGGCCAGGGTGGCATTGGCCTTCTTGGACACCCTGCTGGTGCATGGTGTTTCCATAGTGTGCTTTAAATACGGCCAGAATTTTTACATTCACAACTTTCATTTTCTGAAGGAGTAAAATGAAGTAGTTCCCATTGAGAATACTTGAAGAGCATTGCTTAAAATATTTTACAATTATTCACTAATTTATATCTATATCTATCTATCTCTCTATATCTATCTATCTTTATCTATATATGTATGTATATGTAAAAAGAATGGGCATAATCACTATTTGAGTTCTGGAAATATACAGTCCAGTTTACCTGTACCCTCAGTGGTGACTGTAAACAGCTCATTAAATACACCACTGGCTATCTTTTCTTCCAAGTTCCACACAGAAAGCACTATCTTCAACAACTAATTGTTCAGAGATGCCCAAGTTAAATATATCTGCCTGCCTAACACACAGGATTTATTGCAGAATGCAAATGAAGAGAAATTTTCCTGTGCTTCCTAAATCTGCTTTAATTCTTAAGGAAGAAACAGACATTGCCAAACCATTCTGCTTCTCAGCAATAATTGCAAGTTCAAATATTGAGACTTGGCAAGACATCATTATCTTTTCAACACACTCCTTTAATAACAATTATGCAAAGTTTATAAAGTGGTGAAAGCGCCTAGATTGTAGTAAACTGCCATACTTCACAAAATTTCATGACGTATTTTCTCTATGAACCATTTCCACACTAGATCTAACATTGCAGTGATCAATCATCATTCACATCTAACTCCAGCACTCCAATCGTCCTCAGAAATTCATCAAATCTACAAACTACTGACCTTACCCTAAACCCATTTGATTGCAGGCCAGTTGGCTTAACTCTTCTTGCCACTCATCAGCACAAACATGGTTATCAGCAGCTGACCTGTGAATGGTCAGGAACATCAAGGAATTCATGTTTTTAGACAGGGTAACTGGGAAGAAAAAAGGAGGAAAACTTCACTGTTATTTCACATAGATTTAGAAATGGCAAACTGAAAACATATAACTATATTTAAAAGAGTTTTCCAAGCTGCTGGCACTTCGCCTGATTTCATATGCTGAACAGCTCTGCAGTTTAAAACCAAGGCCACTGTGGCTATCAGAACCTTGCTAAGATTGAACAGTATGAGACACTGAACAGGAAAGGCATCTTGAGGATTAGAATAAACCAGAATACTCCTGGCTCACCAGCACAGGCTCACATTGGTTTCTGATAGACTTAAACTTGATTCATCTTAATCTTGTTAAATGATGTGTCACCCCACAAATAGTCTAATTGAAATCACTACAGCAATTTGTGGGATGAATGCTTGACGTAAGAGTGATGCCATTCTTAGGTCTCAGTAATATGTACTGTTCTGGTCATAACAATTTGTGGGTGTAAAGAAAGAAAAAACAACTACTGTTTACAAGATCATCACCATTGCTTCTCTCTTCATCTATATATAAAAGTTCATGAAGTGTTTTATCACATACAAAAAAGACTCTCAAGATGGCCTTCTTACCCTCAACATCTTCCTAATCTCTCTTCTGTCCACAAGACTTTCCAGATTTTACACACCATCTACACATTTCCGTGCCACATCACTTTTCTTCTATCTGTGTACAGGGACACTTCATACTGAGTCTTTCCTTTCTCTTTTGCCCACTTTCTTGCATGCTTCCCCAACTTAAACCCAGTCTTCCCTTTGGTAATAGAGGGAGCAGCTCTCTACCACTGCAACTGTATTCTAAATCAAATCACCAGTGATTTCTACCATCACCCAAACATCACTTTGAGGGGCCCCACAGCAGGAACTTACCACAGTCCCATTCATCTGAGCTGTCACTGCAGTCTGCTTGCCCATCACACCAGAGCTCACGTGACACACATTCATGGTTGGCACATTCAAGTTCACTCTCTTCACAAAATGCTGCAAGGACAAAAGCATGCTTCAGTCTGAGAAAGAAGTGATCAATATGAAGTTCATGTTGAGACTGAAAAAAATGAGAGGGACAGTGAAGGTAGGCACAGATCAGCTTTATGGAGCAAGGAAGTGAGGCAGATTTGCAACCAAATGCATCCCTGAGGTAGAAGGTGTTTGCTGTCAGGCACAAATCAATGGGAAGGAAGAGTGCCTGGAAATGCAAGATCTGGGATTGTTTAATATCACTTGTGGTCTTGTCATATGAAACCTGTCTAAGCCTCTCAGAAGCTCTAAGTGAAAAAATACTGTTCTGTGCTTTTTAACAGACTGCTCCAAATTTGTTTAATTCTTCATGTTCTTTGAAAAATTATTTTATTGTAATGAATTCATATTTCCTCTCATCCACAGCAGTTCTACATTAATTTTTGGATTCTCTTTAACTTTTTTGAAATTCTGGAATTATTTTTATCTCCATTTTAGAGATGGAGAACTGCTGTACAGATAGACATGCTCCAATCCACAGCTGGTTGCCAGCTGGCAGCATGAGATATGGATTTCCTGAGTCTGTGCAGTGCAGGAACCACAAGAGCTTCCACTTACAAGTGACTTTTAGCTTTCCCACAAGCTTAACAAACCCCCTCCCAAAAGGTATGTGTGTAGCACTACAGTGCCCTCCTCACTAACACACTTCCAGCTTCTACAGAGCTCACCAACAGGGGATTCTGAGAGCTGGGGGAGGATGGAGAGGCAGAGAATGTATGGAAGGAAGATGTATTCAGTTGTGCCTATGTTTGGCTGATATTTAACATTTATACTGTCATACAATCCAAGCATTTATTTGCAACACTAGTGTAAAAAGTGTACTCCCCAGTGAAAGCCACACAGATAGAGAAGGCAGTGCTGCCTACCCTGACAAAAGTGATCTTTCTAGCTCTGGAATAAAGCATGTAAACCCAGAAAAAACATTTCTAACTCTGCCTCCAGAGAGAGCATGATTCAAAAACTGGAAGTGCTCAGTTGGGGAAACTTTGCTGCCATTTCAGAATATACAAGCCCCAGCTCAAAAGCAGAGAGGAAAGCTAGTCTGATAATTATAAATTAACATTACCTTTGCTCTCAGATAATCTTTTCTCTGCCATGATCTTAATTTGTGATCACGAGTGAATAACTTTAATACCACCTTCACATTTTTAGATTATAGCACACAGCTAGGAAGTCAAATGGTATAATCATCACAATGAAAAGCAGATTAAGAAATGTTTTGTGAGCGACTCTTCCCAAAAAGAAACCAAGTTTTTCACAATGAAAAGCAGATTAAGAAATGTTTTGTGAGCTGACTCTTCCCAAAAAGAAACTAAGTTTGATCTAGTGGTATATGCAAGTTACCAATCATTTTGGCAAATATGTTTGTACTCCACATAGCACATAAAATGTGCCTACCATCCTGTCCCTCCCAAGAGAATTCCAGAGGCTCAGAAGCAATCTTTTCTTTAGATCAAAAAATGATAAGCAGATTAAGAAATGTTTTGTGAGCTGACTCTTCCCAAAAAGAAACTAAGTTTGATCTAGTGGTATATGCAAGTTACCAATCATTTTGGCAAATATGTTTGTACTCCACATAGCACATAAAATGTGCCTACCATCCTGTCCCTCCCAAGAGAATTCCAGAGGCTCAGAAGCAATCTTTTCTTTAGATCAAAAAATGATATCCTATGATACCAGCAAAACTGGTGAAACACCAGGACTACCCAGAGAATGAAGATTTCAGTTTTAAGCCAACTTTGCCAACCAACCTTCTCTTCTTTCTTGTGTAGGCTGTGTCACCCAGCATGTCTGAGTTCCTTGTCTTGGGGACATACCCACACATCAGGTTTTCCCAAAAGAAGGGAATTCAGAGTACCACTGATATACTAATTAAAGTGAAGCTAACATCTCATGGCACTCACTCCCAGCTTCATATGCAGGGTGGGACCCTACAAAGCAGCTGCTATACCTGTATGGAATAAGGCTGAGAAAAGTTGGGGAAAGAAGTCAGAAAGCTATATGGAATAAAGAAAAGAAGTACAAAGACACAAGAATGAGAGAGAGAGATAAAAAGAGAGAGGACCAGAGTGACCAAAGAGACAGCAAGGATCCAAGGAAATGAACAACAGAGAACACAAGACGAGGAAACAGATAAATTGGTGCCATAGAAGAACTAAAAAAGGAAACTGAAGGAACAACTAAGGCTTTCTGTGTGTATAAAACCCTTTTACTTTCAGTCACTTTGCATCCCAAAAATGTGATCAGCCCTTTATGGGCCTAAAAAACTGCATGAGCCCTTACAGCAGTTCTTTTCATCCATCATGTCAGGGCAGTCTGGGAAACCATCACAGATCATAGTGTGTTTGATGCACAGCTTCTTCAAAGGACACTCCCAAAGACCCCTTTCTCTACAACCTGGAGGCAGAGAAGCACAATTCTGAAACACCTGCACAGCAATATCAAATCAACTGTTTTCTTCTTGCTTAACGATCCTGAAACACACAAAATATTTTCACTTATAATATAAATTTTAGAAGGTACCAAGAATAGTTACTAATGCAAAAAAGGAAAGAATATTGTCACAGTGCACACTCGATAAATGGATTTAAAATATGTAACACTTCATAATACTTCAGTGCTTTTAAAATAATAATTATATTATGCTACACAGATCTGTAACCAGTGGTTTAGGCATTAGGTCAATGAGTTCAAAACTCATACACCAGTGCTCTTGAAATAGATTTACTAGGAACTTTTCTAATCCTGTAGTCTGTAGAAATCCTTTTAAAAGCATACTACACAGACCTTCAGTCTTTCAAAAGCAAATCCTATGACAGCATGCAATCTCCGTGAAGCAGCATAGAATTTCTGGGTTTTTTTCTGGCAATGCTGATACAGAATCTAATGCAGAATCACACTGAAAGGTAGAAAGAGCTGTTAAGTACTGTCCACAAACAGTACTCCTGGTTCCATGATCTTAGACCAAGCCAGTTTGAAAGCTGCAAGAATCTTCAATCTTCCCTGCATAATAATGCAGGGAACACAAGGCATTATTGTCTGTTCAAATTCCTGCTAACCAACCTCTCTGATTTCAAAAGGAATACTAACAAAACTATGTCAAAGTGCTTTGACAGTAAAATTCCCATTAGTCAGTTAGAGGAAATTAGGAATGGCCCAAGCTACATTTCAGAAAAGAGTTTTCTCTTGTTTTATTATGTTTTTTATTTCCATCAACTAATACAGCGCTTCATTGTGATACCAGTTTGAATACTTTGACATACTAATGTCCTGCATATGTGACACTCCAGTTTTACAGTAAGCCACAAAAACAATGTGTTCTCCTGACTAAAACAGATTATTTGATTGCCTTGTTTGGCCTGTTCTGTAGATGATACTTTTCATTTGAATCCAAGAGCAAATTCAAGTGGCTCTCCCAAAACTTTGTGTACAACATAGACAAATACAGAGACAATTCCCTAGGAGAAATTCACTACTTACTGAATTCAGTGTTCAAATACACTGTTTTGTTGGTAGAGGCTATCTACCATTTGGAGTATTTACATTTCATCTCTAAATATTTTTGTAGCATGCATTTTTAATTTGGTGACAATGAAAGAGAAGTGAAAACAGAGGTAGGAAAAGTGGTCCATATTTATATTATCCCCAATCTCAAAAATATATTTTGACAAGTGATAGGGTTTCACATATGATCTTACCTTCATTCTTCTTCAAAACAGGCAGGAAGGTACCATTTGTTATCCCTATGTATATTTCCCATGCAATGATTATTATTAAGTCATTAACATTCAGACTATCACATTTTTCTCTCAACTAAAATGCTATGGTCAGAACTCAGACTGCAGAAAATAGTGAAAGACAACACTGGGTTTTAATGTTATGTCCTTGATTTCTGTAGTAGCTGTAGGACCCTCTTCTGCTCCCTGCCAGAAGTATTGTTTAGCAGCTAACAAATTAATACAATCAATTAGAATCCAGCATATTTAATAATCTCAAACTTTCATGACGTCTTTCATAATGATATTTTTCAGAATTTTCCTTCCTTTACTGAAATACACTCAGAAGTTTCACCTTCAGAAATCTGGGTCACATTGTCTCCTCAAATCCCAGGCCTAAATGGCACTAAAGTCTTAGGAGTTCACTGCCAATTGGATGGGTGAGATTTCTGCTCACAAAGATCATGTCAAAGTATGACAGGGATTCCCAACAGAAGGAGACAGTGGGTGCTGAATACCTCTCTGCTCTGCTTGGTTAGAGTATACCTTAGTCTGTTTGGACTGTTCTAACTTACATTTTTTGGCCAGAGTAGTTTAAGCTGCAGCTAGTCTTTTCCAGCCTCCTTCTCCCTGCGCTGTGATGTTGTTCTATGCCTGTCATTTAAGGCACTTTAAATACAAGGTTTTTAAATTAAATGCTGAGTGTTAATGTTATAAAATCAATTTCAAAGGATAAACATAATAAAATTTAAGCTAGCCATTTACACATGGAAAGATCATTAACTTTTGATTTTGTCCTGCACACATGGAATGTGAATGAGTCTGAGGCAGTTACCTCTGGAGTTCTACAAGGACTTTTGTTCTTCAGTAACAGCATTACCTCTGGTCAATGTAATGTCACTCTGAGTGGTAATTTCCTAGCAGATACAGTCTTCTATATTTATAGAAACTGATAAGAATTCTGCTGATTGCTAGTCACATTCTGTCTAGACTATAGCGACACAGAGAGATCCACTCGAGGAATGAATGTTACATATTAGAGCAATATTTCATATGTTAATGTCTATCCTAAAAGACACATAGCAATTAGTTTTCTAAGGAGTTCAAAATTGGTGGTCACAAAGAGTATTTGGCAGGGAGGACAACTGAGACAATTGATTCCAAGGTAAAAAGATGAGAATCTCTGAAAGAGTCACTGTGATCATCCACTCTGACTTTCCTCCATAATCCAAACAAGAGACAACCTACTACTGAATCATATTTCAGAGAGTATACAGTATTTTGTGGGGCTTTTTTTCCTTTCTTTTTACAGGGAGAGGGTAATGGGGAAGAAAGAAAGAGGAGAGAGAATACAGACATGGTTTGGAAGCTTCTAGACACTGAGAACAAATTGCACATTAGTGATAAAGAACCCCTTGGTTGCTGCAATCATTAAAACAACCTGCCCTGAAAAAAGCAGCATTTTAGAGGGCTGTCAAGCTTGAAGTTTAGCCTAGATTCAGCTTTCTAGTGTTGGATTTTATGTTATTTTTGTGCATCTGAGTAGAAACTCTTATTGCCACAATTTTGTTGCTCACATAAACAGAATTTCCATCTTAACCTGCTCTGTGTTAAACTCCCCCTCCCCCCAGATACTCTTCTGGAATGTTTTCCAATCCTTTACTCATATTCACAACTCTTCTCTAAATCTTTGTGATATATAATTATCCTCTTTCCCCCTAGGGATGCCAGACCTCCATGGAGCCTACACCTTAGTCATATAAAGACATTCTGCCAGCACTACAGGGATATATAGTGACCAAGAGATTTGTTGATTATTCTCAAGCTCAGTGCATCCCCTTCAGTTAAAAGGCAAAAGCATCTATATTATAAGTAAACTCAGAAACATAATGGAGAATAAACTTTGTGGTTTCCACTTTATACTTGTGCTTACACCTTGAGGTTGACCAATCTGAAAAAAACTTGTAATTCTTGACCTTTGCAGTACAGAATCCACTTCAGCAACACAGATGTTTTGCCAATACATGATAATGAGAACATTATCATGTATACATTTAAAACAACATTTATGGATTCTAGTTATAATCCACCAGGGAGCTACATTTTAGCTCAGTAGAACCTCCAGCAACATCAAAATAATTAAATCTGCAGAATTTTTTAGCTTGATTACTAAAGGAATACTTACCTGCAGTAAGGTTAGCAGAATTGAAATGACCAAGCATCATAAATTGTATTGACATTTATCAAGAAGGATGCTTGCTTAAGTATTTCTACTGCCACCATCTTTAAAAAATAAAACCAAAAAAAACCCCAAACCACAAAAAAACCACTTTCAAACATATTTTTACAGAAAATAGGGGAAAGGGGGCTTATTCTCTGAACTGTCATGCTGCACTTCAAGTAACTGAAGGAAAAACAAAACTCATTTCCTACTGCTGCAGCTATCCTCCATTCCAACGCATTGAATTTATTTACCACAGCTGTCCTCGTCGCTATCGTCCTCACAGTCAGCTTGACCATCACATCTTCTGGATGCCAGGACACACCTCCCAGAGCGGCACTTGAAGTGACTGGGTGAACATTCTGTCAGTGACAAGGAACAGGGAGAAACAAGACTCCATAAGCTTCAATCTTCATCGTGACATGGGCACGCACTTATCACCGTGGCTGTTCCAGAAGGGTAAATGACAGCAATAGAAATCTTGTGCAGTACTAGACTGGAACTATGTAGCAGGCAAGACTGTTAACAATTGTGCTGTGAGTGGTGTGGAGCAGTATTTTCCAGAGCTCTCCCTCACATTCTGCCCTCTGTCAAACTTCATCACTTTGCCAAATAACTGGCATGCAATGTTTAGACTGTGCATATGGATTTTCTAGCTACTCCTCTCACTGTTGTGGTGTTGTGTGATGTGTTGAAATGAGTGTAAGAAATCCTCAGGATAAAAATAAACTAAAATATTGACAATTGTGTGTCTATTTGAATTAATAAACCTCCTATAAATGTCCACTAATTAAGCATACATTGCTTCTGCCTCATCTTACAGAGCACCATTTTGGGACAAGGAAGCAGAACAGAGCTGACAGAACTTTAAGGACATCTTCCATTGAGCTAGCAATCCTCAGGAGCAAGAAATAGGGCAAAGAAGGAGAAAGACCAACACGGCTGAGTAGGGAACTGCTGGTCAAATAGCACAGAAGGTAGCAAATACACAAGCAGTGGAAACAAGGACAGGTAACTTGGGAAGAGCACAGATATGAAGTTTGGCTGTAAAGGGATGGGGTGAGGAATGCCAAGGTGAAGCTGGAACTGAACCTTGCAAGGGATGCAAAGAATAACAGAAAGGGCTTCTACAGGTATGTCAACCAGAAAAGGAAGGCCAAAGAAGGTACTGCCCTGAAAAACAATGCTGGTAACAATGGTAACAATGAATGAGGAGAAGGCTGAGGTACACAACACCTTTTTTGCCTCAGTCTTCAATGGCAACCTCTATTGCCATCCACATTTCAAGTAGATAGACAACAGGACAGAGACAGGGGGAGCAAAATGCTTCCCACTATAAGTAAAGATTAGGTTCACATGCACATGGACTTTGCTTGAAGAAATAGTAGTAACTGCTATATATGATTCACTCCTTTTTTATGACTCCTTCACTATATTCACTGCAATACATCTACACTAAAAGAACTCCAGACTGATTAGCTTTTGCCCATTGCTTTCTCTGAGCAAAATCAAGGCTGTGGAAAGATGTCATCACCATGTAGGTGAGTAGGAGAAGAGTGAGAACTGACCACCATCAGCACATTGCAGGCACTATAGTGCACATCATCTCACTATTTTTGCAGCTACTTTACTGGCATTTTGGCAAGAAATGCATTTCAGAATACCCACAGATCTCACACTCCATGAGCACTGCTGAAGGAAAAGCTGCACAGCTTCTCTCTTCATACGTAGAAAGAATATCTAGAAGCATTTAAGGCAATTTCATTTTTTGTTCCAGGTTCACACCCACAGCGGTTAATATCTTGGCTGAACCCAAAACCTGAAATTTGTCAGTTGCTAACGAAGTTGATTCGGTACAACTCTTTGCAAAACTTTCCCCAAACAAAAACTAAGAGCAACTGATACCTGCCAAAGACACTACACTACCATATTTTTTCTCAGAGCTGTTGTGGGGCTCAGCTTTTTAAAGATTGTCAAGAGTCTGCCTCCTGGTTAGAAAAGCATTATTAGGTCATGTAATTAAATAAAAAATTGAAATATCAATACAAGCAAGCAGTAGGTGTGGTCTTAGCAATTCATCTCAAACACTGACTCTCATATATTGAGGGTAATTGATCCTTCCTTCAAATAGACTTCTCATGAGAACTGTGTCTTACCTGCAAATTGTACGTATTGAAATACCTTGAAACTCAGTTTGGAATCGTTCCCATGGTTTAAATATTATAAAGAGGAGGTATCAAAATTTTAAAAAAAACCACCAGTGACTTGGGAAACCTATTTAAATCTTTAATTTCCTGTTATATGTATAGGAGTTACCTTCTACATCTTCATCTGGTGTTAGGCAAGTTTGGTTGTCTGAGTTCTCCTCTGGAAACTGAGTGCAGTCTGTATCTTCTGGCCACTGCAGACCTACAATCCCAAGTACAGCCTCGCAGCGTTCCTTAGACTGTACACACAACGTCCTGAGGAGTCAAAGTGGAATTGTACAAAGTCACTGAGTGAATGCCTTAGAAATTCCCTGATACTGGAAGTTAATAATCCTAGCCAAAGTTAAAGATGAAGACAAAAAAATCAGTTAAGCAGATTTCTTTACATTAAAAAACCCCCACCCATATATCAAAAGCTATGCTACTGTTGAAACATTATTTGAAGTTACTATATCCAGTTATGTTATAACTCAGGTTGACAATAGCTATATATAACTACTTACAAGCATCCTCTCCTCTAAGAGATAGCAGAGACCTTTTTTTTTAAGAAACACTAACTGCAGTCATTCAGGAAAAGAAAAATCCAAACACATTTTGTACCAGTGAAATGCTACCTCTTCTGATGATGCTACCTCAGAAACCATGTGGTTCCAGAAGAACAAAGTATTTAAACCTGCAAAGAACTCCCCAGGAAATTCAATAAAATTACAACTTCATGAAAAGCAAAGCACGGATCACCCAGTCCTGAGGCTGTAGTCAGTTAAAGCAACAGAAGTTTGTACCACATCTGGAAAAAGGCAGGAATATAGTCCTCCTGTTGCATTGTTTTTACCATGTAAAGACAGGACTCACCCCACAAAATTCATTCAGCCCATTTAGATTAATATCCTGTCTCTCAAAATACCCAATGTCAAATGCTTTAAAAGTGTGAAGAGAATATGCATAATAAAAAAATCCCCTAATATTTTAAACATTAAGCCAGTAATTTTGTCTGGAATCCTAGGTTATGTGCTGTTCACTTTTATGGTCTTGTCTTGAATCTGTGGTAGTTTGAATCTCTGCTTTTTTCAACTACTTCTCTCTCTCTTTTTTTTTTTTTTTAAATGGAGTATTACCCAGGCAGTACAGAATTAGAAAGCTCAACATCCTTTTAATCTCTTCCTTCAAACACAAGCATGAGTCATGCTTAAGAGGTATTTAAGTTGTTTTTGAAAAACTCTTCAGTTGGCGAGATTTAACATACTTCCTTATCACAGGATATACAAGTCTATGTACAGGGGTAGATTTCTCATACACAGATATCTATTATTGTTCTTATATCTAATCTGTAGATCTCCTGACATACTTTAAATCCATTGCTTCCTGGTTTAACCTCACAGAACATGGTAAACAATGTATTTATTTTCTCACAGAACCTCACTTTTACCTACTTGAAAGCCATGATGTTTCTCCACATCTTCTCTTGTTTCTAGACTCAGCAATTCATTGCACATTTTAGATCCTATTTTCTAAATCTATGCTGATTTGGACTTTGTCATACTGAGTCAAAGAAAATTCTCCTTAGTTCTACAGGCTGAAAAATATTCAACAGTAGGATCCCACCCGTTTATTTTTTTTCCAAATTTAATTGATAATACAAAGGGAAAGAAATAACAAAAACCAACAAAACAAAGCCAGTGATGCACAATACACTTGCTTACCACCCATGGACCGATGCCAGCCCGTTTCTGAACCTGGATTGGCCCCTCAGGCAATCTCCCCCTCAGTTTATATACTGGGCATGACATTCCATGGTGTGGAATATCCCTTTGGCTAGTTCAGGTCACCTGTCCCAGCTGTGCTCCCTCCTAGTTTGTTTTTGTCAAAGTAAATTGTCCTATGGTTTCTACAAGTTCCTCTTTATCTGCTTAATGCCTTACATTTGAAGACTATTCAACTGTATTGCAATACTTCCCAAAATCTGTTAGCTAAGTATGAAGGTAAAGAGTCTATAATTTAACTTGTAACCCTCTACATTAGAATAAGTTAGCACAATTTTTATTTATTATATTGCTCTCTTAAAAAAAAAACACAACAAGTTGATTTTCAAAGAAGAAAGCCTGAAGCAGAGTTTGCACAAACCACACTGACATTTCACAGCTCTCCCTTATGCAATATTCTAATTTGCCCATTAGGTTCCTATGGGAGAATTAAACAGTATATTAATAAATTTCCCTGTGGCTCACACTTATCTTGCACTAGGAAGCACATCACTAGACAAATACATGTCTACATTTGTCAACAAGTTCACACGGTAGGAAATTTTAGGACATGTACTGCAATTTTCAATGGACTTTTCTTTCAATGCAGTAGATGTTAATTGATTAATGCTGTCAAGGCAGGCCCAATAAAAGAGGCAGAAATAAAGTATGAGAAGGCTCTAGTGGTCAGTAGCTCAAAGACTTCTGCTTGCTGATCAGGTTTATTAGCTCTCCTAACCTGCAACAACTGCTGCTACCAAAGCCATGAGATTTACAGAACATAATCTCTTTCAAATAAATACAGGCATATCTCTAAAAAGTACAGTGATGTTACTTGCTGATGATGGCAGAACAATTAATCTGACAAGTAGAAAATCTAAGTTACCCTGTAATTCAGAACGATGTGGCACTCCTAATTTTGAAAGGTGCATTAAAATCTCCGTTTTTGTTAATAGCAGTTGGATCAAACTTTGCATAAAGTGATGCACTAATGCAAGGAACCACTACAAATGCTAATGTTTCAAATTAAATTAATTGATTCTATGTTTAAGAAGCCTTTATATTGGTGCAATTCTAATCAAACACAGAAATGGAAAATGCTTCATACAAAGCTCACAGCATTCTTCTTCTCAACTTGGCCAACAGTGGAGTCAGCAGGTTCTCAGTGCACTGGGTGAAGAACTGTCTGAAGGGCAGAGCTTGAAGGGTCCTAGGGCAGCATCTGGCTGGCAACCAGGCACCAGCACTATTTCTCAGGACTCAACTCTAGGGCCAGTCCTGTTCTATACATTTATCAATGGTCTGGATGCAGCAGTTTAATGCACCATTACCATGTTTGCTGATGATACCAAACTAGGAGGTGCTGTTGACTCTTCTGGGGGACAAGAGGCCTTGCAGGGAGATCTAGAAAGATTGGAGCATTGGTCAGTCATCGAGGGCATGAAATTTAACAAGCACAAATACCAGGTTCAGGATCTAGGATGTAGCAATGCCAGGCACACAAGCAGTCCTGCAAAAAGGGACCTGGGGATGCTGGTGAGCAGCAGCTCAGTGTGAGTCAACAATGTGCCCTGGTAGCCAAGAGGGCAAACCACATCCTGGGGTGCATCAAACACAGTATCACCAGCCAGTCAAAAAAGGTGATTATCCCACTATATTCAGTGCTGGTGCAGTCTCACTTTGAATACTGAGTCTCGCAATTTAAGAAGGATGTGAAGGTCCATGAACACACCCCCAAAGGAGAGCAACAAAGCTGGAGAAAGGAATGTCCTGTGAGGAGTGGCTGAGAACTTTGGACTTGTCTGCTTTGGAGAAAAGGAGGCTGAGGAGTGACCCTATTGATCCCTACAGTTTCTTGAGGAGAGGACATGGAGAAGGAGGTCCTGATCTCTTCTCCCTGGGATCCAGTGACAGGACACATGGATATGGTTCAAAGCTGCTCTAAGCAAGGTTTAGATGGGGCATTAAAAAGCAATTCTTTACTGAAAGATTGGTCAAACCCTGGAACAGGTCAATGCCCCAAGCCTGTCAGTGTTTAAGGGGCATTTGGACAATGCCCTTAATAACATGCTTTAACTTTTGGTCAGTCCTAAAGCAGTCAGGCAGTTGGACTAGATGACCATTCTGAGTTTCTTCCAACTGAAATGTCTATATATACATTTTGAAATTAATGAACTGATATTCCTCTCCTTGTTTTGAATACTTCAGATGCTAAACACACACAAATAATGAACTGAAGTTAATGATCCTATAAAATAAGGTTCTCTGTCTTTTGCTATGGAATTCCAAAACAAAATTTTTGGCATTTTCAATGGAAACATAAGATTTGGAAAGACAAATATGACATAATCAAGAATTAAATAAAGTATAGTATAGTACCTGCAAGGTGGGATCCGCTGATTTGTATAGGGGTCACATTTTGGTACTAAGATTGTACAGGCAAAAAACATCAGGTACTTATAGCAGTTGGTCTGAACCAAGGCTGGGAAAAGAGAAGACTCCCAGCTGATAGAGGCTTCCTTCTGCGTCCTGTGACCCAGGTAGTTTGGGTAATAAGTATAGTTGTAAGGCAAGTTCATACAAAGTTCCAGAGTAATTGGTTCACACTGACCTTTGACAGAAAGAAAACAAACAAAACCACAAATGGTGTGAGATTAAATGAAACATAGAAGGAATAATTACATATGCATTTAACAAATTTATCAGTCAGGGGATTTCCTCTCACGTTTGAGAAACTGCAAGTTCCAGAGCTCAAAACTCAAAATGAGCTGTTCATACCAGTAAAGGTGGGCTTGATTTCTGCCTACCTAATAACCAGTTAAGAGACTTATATTTCCTTATTAATATGCATTAACCTCCTGAGCAACCTTTTAACTTGGTACAATAAATCATCCTTTAAAAATAGATTTCTTTTCTTCAAATCAAGTTTCTGATTATTTTCAAGAGTTCCTACTGTACAGCAACACACTTCCTACTGGTGTACTTACTATGCTACCATAACACACCTCATATTGGCAGGGCAATTGCCAAAATGAAGAAGGGATCATTGGATACTTCAGGTTGGAAAGGATTTCAAAAGGTCTCTAATCCACCTGCTCAAACCTTGGTCATCTCTGAGGACTGATCAGGTTTCTCGAGGCTTTATTCAGTTAGGTCCTGAAAAATCTTGAATGACAAAGACTGAACAATTTCTCTGTATAGAAAACAGAAGTCAGGATTTGTTTTTTAATTTGTTTTGGGGTTTCTTTTGCATACTAAGATCTGAAGAAAGAATGGGGACAATTAGGTTATGTATTGCACAAGCACTGAGCAAGAAGCAGCCTACATGCTAACAATTCCATCAAGAGCAGTGTGGCCAGCAGGTCGAAGGAGGTGATTCTCCCCCTCTATTCTGCTCTTGTGAGACCTCACTTGGAGTACTGCACACTGTTCTGGTGCTCTCAATGTAAGAAGGACATGGAACTGTTGGAGCAAGTCCAGAGGAGGCCAAGAAATTGATATGAGGATTTGAGCATCTCCCCTATGAAGACAGGCTGAAAAAGTTGGGACTGTTCAGCCTGGAAAAGGGAAGGTTGTGTGGAGACCACATAGCAACCTTTCAGTATCAGAATGGAGCAAGTCCAGAGGAGGCCAAGAAATTGATATGAGGATTTGAGCATCTCCCCTATGAAGACAGGCTGAAAAAGTTGGGACTGTTCAGCCTGGAAAAGGGAAGGTTGTGTGGAGACCACATAGCAACCTTTCAGTATCAGAATACAGGATACTAAGATCTGAAGAAAGAATGGGGACAATTAGGTTATGTATTGCACAAGCACTGAGCAAGAAGCAGCCTACATGCTAACAATTCCATCAAGAGCAGTGTGGCCAGCAGGTCGAAGGAGGTGATTCTCCCCCTCTATTCTGCTCTTGTGAGACCTCACTTGGAGTACTGCACACTGTTCTGGTGCTCTCAATGTAAGAAGGACATGGAACTGTTGGAGCAAGTCCAGAGGAGGCCAAGAAATTGATATGAGGATTTGAGCATCTCCCCTATGAAGACAGGCTGAAAAAGTTGGGACTGTTCAGCCTGGAAAAGGGAAGGTTGTGTGGAGACCACATAGCAACCTTTCAGTATCAGAAGGGCCTACAGGAAAGCTGGAGAGGGACTCTTTGTTAGGAACTGCAATGATAGGACAAGGGGTAATCGGTACAAATTGAAAGAGGGGAAATTTACATTAGATATCAGGGGAAAATTTTTTACTGTGAGGGTGGTGAGACACCCAGGGAGGTATTGGATTCACCTACTCTGACGGTATTCAAAGCCAGGTTGGATAACACCTTGAGCAACTTGGTCTGGTGGGAGATGTCCCTGCCCATGGCAGAGGAGGTTAGAACTAGATGATCTCTAAGGTTCGTTCCAACCCCTTAACAATCCATGAATTTAATTCACATAAGACATAATTAATAATAAAGAGAATGGCAAGCAATGGCAAAATGAATGCAACAACTACAAGTCCATATGGTTATAGAGACTATAGGTATATACAAAAATTGCCCAGCTTTTAGAGGCTTATCACAACAAATATTGAACCGACCAAGTATTTTGGATTTTAAAAAATGTGGAGCTTTTGTATTTCTTCTCAAATTGGTAGTCACAAATAATTATTTTACCATTTTCTACCACAACAGAAAACTAAAGACAGAATTTCACTTCAATTCAGACTGAAATTCAGCTTTTTATTTAGCAACGAGACAAGACCAATGGGAAACTTTCATTTTAGTTTCTCTTGAAATATGAGAAAAATTTCCATGAAAAAGTATACTACTCAAAAGTAATTTGTTACCAAAAGACTGCATATATTTGCCTATTCTGGAAGTAAATGTTTCTTAACATGATTAATACTCTCTGCCAGGCAGTTGCTACCATCAGTTACCAGCACAGTCTGGCAACTGTGTCATTCCATAGCTGAAGCTTTGAGAAGAAGTTGAAAGAAGATCCACAGTCAGTTATACAGCTAATCAACAGAACTGGCCAGTCTTTCTTGGTCTATCATTCCTCTTAAAACATTTTGCAATTTACCTCTAATCTGATGATAACAAAGCTCATTTTTCATACAGCTTTTCCTCTCTGCTCAATCCTTGCATACTGCCAACACTGAACCATTTCAGTTGTCTCAAAGCACTTAGCCCCTGCTTTAGGGTACATGAGGTTCAATGACTTCAACAATTCTCACATTACTGCCATTTCCTTTTTTTCCCAATGAACCAGCCCTTGTCCTCCCTCATTTCAGCCTCAGATGCCCAGATCAGTTTGGGCTTGTCTTCTGATTTTGCCCAGTAAGTGTCTTTTCTTGATGTGTACATAATACTTCATGTTTGTCTGTATTTCATGATGAACACAAAAGCACATGCAGTGTACTTGTGTAACGTAACATCATTCAAGACTAAAGGGCTGACCCTCACACAGACTTTTCTCTTTTATTATGCCTTACATTTATGGGGATTTAGACAAATTTTAGAAGAAATCTGGTCCTCTGAAAGGCCTCTGGAGGATAGTTCTTTACATGTTTTCTGTATGGTTATAATTTTCACACTGTTTACAAAGCTTCTATTACATTATGTAGATTTGAAAATAATAACTTTGAGCCTCACACCCAATTCTCTACAATCCACAGAGTAACAAACAGAACATAGCCTCCAGGGGAACTTCTGACTGAATTTAAGTAACCCAACTATTAATCCTTCCTTCCTAGTCTGCCCTACAGTTTAAGAGATCCTGCTACTCCCTTATTTCTAGTATATGTGGGTACAACCTAATGAGTGGGAACAAGGAGTAAAATTCACTGCATCTTTTATACTAACAAAACCAGATTACAAACAAATAAAATAAAAAAAAACCCACATCCAAACAGATTATACCTGGGTTTAAGATCTTCCTGTGTTTATTATTAACTTGCTCTATCTACCATATAGGAATGACTTCCAAACATAGTAATAGACATGAATGGGATGTTTCAGAGAATCACAGATGGGCTGAGGTTGGAAGGGGCCTCTCTGCAGGACATCTGGTCCAACCCCCTTGCTCAAGCAGGGCCATATAGAACAGGTTCTGCAGAATCATGCCCTGACAGCTTCTGACTGTCTTCATGAATGAAGTCTGTACAATCTCCTTGGGTAACCTGTCTTCAGTCACACTCATAGTAAAGAAAGTGTTTATGGTCAGAGTTTCTTTATGCTCCCATGATTCATTTTGTGCCAATTGCTTCTGATCTTGTCACTGAGCACTGGAATAGCCTGGCCCTGTTTTCTTTACACTCTCCCTTCACATATTTGTTCTGTTATCCTAAATATGTTATAAATGCATTATAATGCCAACCTAAACTGATCAGATACTATCACACATGTAGAACATCCATTGTATTCAATACTGTGAAATGTGGCCTATGCTTTGGAATTTTCTAAGCAGAAAATACTGCTTTGTCAAAACTGAAATTTTCCGTAAGAATTCTCTTTTCTTACCAAAGATGAAATAACTGGTCAAAACACAAAGAACAAAAATTACATGAAAAAAAAAAAAGACAATAGTACTTCCAGATGTCCCAAACTGTCTTGCTGTTCTATTGTGTATGAACAATTAAATATTCACTGGACCAAAAAGGCAGAAAGATAGATGATCCAGAAGACTAATTCAGATTATGTGTTACTCCCATTAAGAAGTATAGACAGTTGCCCTTTTTAGTGCAGAATTTTCCACGAGGAATTACAGACAGTTGCTTTTTAGTGAAGAAGTTTCCTCAAATCTTCACTAAAATGCTCTGGGTTTCTCATGATATGGAACTTGAGCATGGTATTAGAACTCAAATATTACATGCCAAAAGTCATAGAATCACAGAGCAGTTTGGGTTGAAAGGGAACTTAGAGAACATCTTTAAGGTGAGATCTTTTTTTAGGGGAGATCTGCTGTTCTTAACAGTTACCTAATGGGAAGGTGTAAAGTAGATGGAACCAGACACTTAGAAGCATACAGGGATAGGATGAGAGGCAAAAGACATGAGTTGTAACACAGAGAATTACAGTCACTTACAGGGAAAATAGGTTTTTATGAGAGTAGCCTAACAATGAAACAGATCTCTCAAAGACTGTGGAATCTCTGTCCTTGAAGATACTCAAAGCTCAGTTGCACAAGGTCATAACCTCATGACTTAATTGGCACTGCTTTGATCAGGAGTTTGGGCTAGTTGACCAAAGGTGTAACCTAACTTCCATCTAATGCTAAACATGGTATTTATGATTGATCATTTCCAAAAACATAGGAGAAGCATTGATAGAAGCACATGTAAAGCATATATATGGTTTATAAAACATCTTATGTCTTTACTTCGGCAGAGCCTAAAGGCCTCAGCAAGAATGGTGCCTTTCTCAAACAAACACTTGTAGGTGACAGTCACAACTCTAGAGAGACTATGGAGTCAGGATTAGTTGACCTTTCTATATCTGCTCCATCCTAAATGGAATAACACTATCCCCACAAGTTACCATATACTACCAAGCCATACCTTGCAGAGATAACTGCAGAACAAAGCACTTTGGACTATGTCTACACATTCAATGTAAGTGAAGCCAAGGCTGCCCATGTGCAAATGTGACCTGAACTGCTGAGACTGTATTAACACAACACCAAGTTTCAAGTAATTCCGAATAACTTTTAATACAGTTCTGCCCCAGTTTCAAAAGCTAGACAAATATACTTCTATTGATTATCTGTTCACATTGCTGTCTTGCACAAGTGAGAGAGACAGCTGTTCAGAAGCAAGTGACAGTCACGACAGGAGCCTTGCATGGAGTGGTATAGTACAGGATAGAAATGACATTGAGTTGAAGATCCAGATCCTCTACAATATGCATTGGTCAGAAGAATACTTAGGTTTGCCAGTTTGAATATCAAAATTATCCCTTTATAAAAGGGCTAAAGATTCTTCAGACTACTAAACACAGTAAATATTTTTTTATATTTTGAAAATAAACCAGTAAATTCTCCTTTACACTTACACTATGTTGTTTACTTTATGTAGACACTGAATGTCATTAAATGTTAAGAAAATGTGCAACTGTAGACACCCATAAAGAACACATAAAAAATTCACAGAAGGGAAAACTCCCCCATGTCAAATATTAGAACTCTTAGTACATCAATAATCAAGACTTATGATGACATTTTTATTTCAACATTGCCCTTTTCAAAACTTACTCATTACATATGCACATTAGACAGTAAATAAAAGTATTGCTTTAATTTACCTACCCTGCATCCTCATTATAACCTAAACCACCCTAAACCAGTGACAATACGAAGCATGTGACCTACTTACTGCAGTTTGCCTGGCTGTTTCTCATCTCACAGAGAGACGTTCCACAGGGATCAGGACAGGAAGAACACCGCTGGTCTCCCTCCTGACAGAGAGTTTGATCTGCAGGAAATAGAACTCTACTGTTCAATTTACCAATGATTGGAGTGTAGTGATGGGAATATACAGAGTTTACGTAACAACTGAGTATTTCCTTTACATAGGTGAATAAGTGCACCACAGCATTTCAAGTGCAGTAAGGAGGTGTTGTGAGGAAGAAAAGTGTGCAGCACTGTCCAGATGTCACTTTTATATCCCAGTTTCTGAATGAGAGGTGTGATCTCTGAGAGCCATTTACCATGATCCTCTAGAAGAATATGAAAAGTCATGTAAATCATATTTCAAAGGGAACAATAGGTCCTAGCTGAAAGAGAATACCCTCTGGGAACTATTCTTCAGTGCCATTCAGTTGATCTGCTTCTCATTTTATGATTGTTTTGGTTGACTATAAATGACATCCTGAAGAAAGGTTGCAGAGCTGAAGCTTTATTGTCCTCCTTTGAGTGGTTAAAAAAACAACAAAAAGAAACCCCAAAAGACTATGGTCCTAAATATAGCATTAAGAAGAGCTAAAACCAGCACTTCATCAAAAGGTTTGAGCATACTACCTGGGTAACTAGCTTATGTGACAAATCCCTGAACTTCTCTTTCTCACAGTGGTGACAGCTTCTTTCCAAACCATTAAATTCTCTCCTCCATGTGCAAAATCAGTTACTTAATTTCTTATTCTGTATACAGACTGTCTTTTACCACCTTATCCTGTTTAAAAGGGTTTATTGCCACCATTACTTAGTGTTTGCATTGTCAGCCATGACATCCTTACATTGGGCATACAGATGATGTTGAAGAAACATCTTCAGACAATGTGAATAAGTCATATTTCTAGTAACAACTGATCATGTCAGATAACTAAATGCTATGCTAAATATCACCTCCATTTCTGTAACTTTTTTTAAGTCCTAATAAAATCCTGCTTACAAATCCCTGTGTGAAGGCAGACACCAACCAGACTTAGCAAGTGTTATTTGAAAGGCAAATAAAGTAAATTTGTCAGACAGCTTTAGCTAAAGGCACTTCAGAACAAAGCAGTCAATGGTAAGTTTAGTGATAAGAGTTAAATGAGGCATATCCTTACTTTCACTACAGTTTTCTTCATCACTTCCATCTTTGCAGTCATTATCTCCATCACACTGGAAAGCACTAGGAATGCACTGCCCATTTCTGCACTCCACCAGCCCCTGACTGTGACATGCTAGAGAGAAAAAAGCAAAAGAAAATATTCTGAGCAACTTAGGTTAATGAAGGTCTGCATTACTTAAGGAGGAGCTGATAACACTGCTTAGCACTGAAGGTCACTCGACCTTCACTACCTTTAGGCTCTGTTTTTAACAGCCTACAGCTGTGCTGACCTTTAACTACAGACTGAAACTATATATGGCAGGTGTGAGCAACAGGTTGAGATTAAGTCTTAGCTTTTCCAAGACAAAATAAACCCATCATTTTTACTCTTATAAAAATTGTCACCTTTTCTTTGTCCACTTACATTACTTTATTCAGGTAAGATCCTTACATGTTAGGGAAAATTATAGAAAAGCAGTCACAAACTCAAGCACTGAGTGGCAGCAAGAATCATAGCAGCATAAGCACATGTTTTACAAGACCCTTAATCACACTAAAACATGTGCTATTTCCCCAAGAACTGATGTTACACCCTCAGCAATATGCTACCATAGTTGTTTTGCAGATATAAGCCAACACCATCAAAGCAGACAGAAGTCCAACTTCTGACAAGATGTGACAGGCCACAGACACATCAGAAACCTGTCACAAACACAGAATGCCTACAGTTTAGGAGGTTACATACACTCATTACTTACTCTTTAGTGGAAACATTACAATTAAGGAAAGGGTAATTCTGTAATTAACAGGAAGCTGAAACACAAAGCAATGTTGGGACTTCTCAGCAATGGCAACAAATGTCTAATTTGCTACAGTTGTCTCACAGAAAGGATGTTTGTCAGGTGTGAACTTCTGAAATCAAATAAGCTTGTAGTTTGGCCATACAAGTATGCACACTACTTATATTACATTTTTATTTTTAAAGAAAGAAAAAAGTAATTCAAGATTAAGGGAACTTACAGCAGTTGACCTCATCTGATTTGTCTGTACAATCATGGTCACCATCACATACCCAATCAGCTGTTATACATCTCCCATCTCCACACTGATGATGCGTCACTGGATTACAATCTACATAAAATGCCAATTTGAAGGAAAAAGAAAAGGATACTAAGATACCATTTGTATAATTTATATTACTGATGAATTGTTCCATGCCTATTAGCTAATCGTTCTTACCAAAGAGCCATTTTGCATTAGTAAATTGCATGAAGAGATTTTCTGTACCTGTACATTCTTTTTGCAGATGGTAGTTACCTATATTCTGAATTCTACTGCCTGTATAGACAACTATGTGCTCACCTCCTCTCTCAGGTTCACAGCTGTTACCATTTGCAAATAAACAAATTTCTAAGATTTGTTAAGTACATTAAAAGATCTTCTGGCTTCCCATCTCATGAAATGATTCTCAACCAACA